GAGAAACACATCCGGTTGGTTCTGCGTCCGCATTTCCATACTAAAGCTTCGGGCGGGCTTCTCTCTATCTGGCAGAATCTTGTTATGACAATAAAAGTTCTGCGATACGAGGTAGACCCCTCCGAACGACGCTCCTTCGCACGGACTTCCCGTGAAGCACTGAATCCAGCCAAACCAAATATAGATTCCAGATCATAGAACATAGATAATAATTATTTCTAACAACAACACCAGTTAGCCTAGCCCCAAAGTGAGCATTCTATTCTACCCAGTTTATAGAACCTTCTATTTTTATTATTAAGCATTTAACTGCTTAATGCTTTAATCTAAAGATTTTTTTAATTCTACGCGGACCAGGCCCCTCTGCTACCTGGTCCGCGTGAAATTTTATCAAGGAAAATTTTCTTTAGATTTATAGAACCTTGTTAAAATGTATCGATTTGATCATAATAATATATTTTCCATTTCCATACTAATATCAAACTTATTACAAAGCGATAAAAGCAAGGCAATGTCTTTGTCAAATTGTATCCACAATCACGACACCTCGATTGTCTACTCGTAGTAGTGAATTTAAATTGCTTCATTTAATATTAAAAGGAACTACAGAACCATAATAGAATTTCGCCATCAAATATTTATTTTGCATTACATTACGCCATTACAATGAATAAATTTGGTTTACACAGATTATTAAGTCAAACTCGTGCCTGCAGAGTTTGGGTTAGTTGAGCATGGAAGCAGTATGTTGAATAGATCAGATTTAGTGCTGATTTAATACACAATAAGGTCAGAAACTACAAACGTAATCTAATTGAAAATTTATAACCACGGACAATGACAAGTATGATTTATCTAGGAATAGTGCAACTAAATTGTTATATAAAATCTGAGTCTTCTAAAACCTTGTAAACTTCAATTACTGTAGAGTTGAACTCAACTTCTGATTTATTCGCAAATTTAAAAATTGAACTTTTACTTATATACCTACAGGTTTGTATGGAACCCTCGGTGCGCGAGTCCGACTCGCACTTGGCCAGTTTTTGGACTAATATGAATGATATTGTATTATTTATAAAACAAGATTGAAGTCCCCTGCCTACATTCAAAAGTCCTCTTTTTTTCTGGGGGAAACGCTCGCAGTTTTTCCTGAAGGCAATTAGCAAACTTCAATGTTAAACCGTGTACGTTGGGATTATACCCTACGTATTATTATTTGCAAAGCAATTTTACTTATTCAATCAGACTTAAAACTTTCCTAAGCAAAACTGTCATAATAAATAGAAACTGCAAAAGCAAACCGAATATTATTCTCCAGCTTTAATAGTTTCGTGTTGTTTCCAATTAAGTAGTCAACTTGACCAATCAGCTTAATATTTGTTTCAAGTTCGTTGTTATTAACATCAGTATATAAATCTTGTTAAATAACCGTAGCTTAAGCACGATTCTGAGTTTATGCTTCACTTTGTGAGAGTACTAAGCTTATCTTGACTGTTTTACGACTATTTTACGATTATTGCTCCTTTGAATTGGTTATAAATGCGTCCGATATGAAATTCTATAAAGGTATTATTTTATATGGGCATGTTCTTTAAGTATCTCGTATGCGTCGAAGCTTGCTCGTTTATTTTAATCTTCATTTACTAAATTTTATACATCCAGTCTTCCAGTCTTGGTAGGTAGTTCGAAACTAATTACGTGAGGATCCTTCCCTGGTATTACCTACTATACGATCAGTCAGGGTCGTTATGTTACAATGAATCATATTGAAATTGAACGTAATTGCAATACTACTAAAGTTGAATAAGAAAAGGCGCATTGTGTGAGTTAAAAGAAATAAATCAATTATTACTTATTAAATATAGTAGGTTACGCAAGATGTTAACAATTTGGATACGGTATATTAATTGATACCTTAGTTTAACATTAATATTTTTTTATATTTAAGGTAGGAAGTATTGGTAGTTATCCTATAGTATTATTAACTGACAGAGTAGGTAGACTATGAAAATTGTTTAAATTATAACAATTAATAAGAAAACCAATGTTACTATGATTACCTATATTTCTCATTCGAATTTAAGCTGCTTACATAACTTGCACAAACTGTCCTCATTAAAAGTTAAAAGACACAACACAGGTGTGGCATGCCACAGGGCAATACTTAAAGTCCATATTTTTTTATTATTACATAGAATTATGTTTTAATATTTATTTACAGTGGCTTTAAAAAGACGAAATAGTTGTAAATTAACTTAATTGTTAATTATTAATTGATAAATTTATTGAATTGTGTCTAAAAGTATTTATGTATATTGTAAGTTACCTTATGATCTCTAGCTCTACAATTACATCAAATTGGTCATCGTAAGTCATAATTGTTAAAACCTTAGCCTTTCTTATTTACAAAACTAGTAGGATACATTACTTGAAATTGTTTAACTACGTACATTACAAGATTGTATTATAGTGTATATAAACTTGTCGACTGTTGGTTTAAAACACGAACATAAACATTCATTAAAGCCGTACTTACAAGGCACTTGCACCAAGCAAGTAATTTAAACATAAATGAAATGAGTATCGTTACTAGGTCAGCAAATCAACTCAAAATCAACAGTATAATGATCTAAAAAGCTTTTTAATTAATATACTTTTTAAATCATCGAAATCGGTTCATTCGTTGCGATTTTATAACACTAACTAGTGGCTCGCCCTCGCTACGTTTCGGTATGGACTATACTGCTATATAAAAATACACTACGACCGGCAGTGCTATTCTGTAAAATTTTTACATTTTCACTATTTTCATTGGTTTTATATGGGAACCAGAGGAGCGGAGCATCGATGAAAAATGTTGCAAAGAAAATATATTCCATTTTAGGAGCTTCCGTTGCGTGTACTGGATAAAAGGATAAAGTTACACTAAAATCATGTATGACGGAATTGTTTCCCTTTAAAAGTTCTAAAAAAAAGTCCGCGACAGCCTATGTCCATCTTCTAAGTTTGACTCACTATTTATTACCTTTTTCCTCAAATTGACGCGGGTGGAACCTCTACTTGTGGCATAACGGTAATAGACATAATGGTATTACGCACTTTTTTGCAGATATATAATTATGTCCTCTATAAAACTTTAGTACAACACTTTGTTCTATTGTCAATGACTTCCGCAGCGTATGCGATAAAAGGTTTTTTTTTGTTATATTATCGAAGTTCTCATACGAAACCCTACTTTTTTTAATACTCTATAGCCCATGTTCAGCATGGATAATGTAGGATTCTAAATGTGACAGAATGCCTCAAATCGGTCCAGTAGTTCGGAGCCTATTCAATACAAAAAAACAAACAATCAAACATTTCCTCTTTACAATATTAGTATCGATTTTCTGGTAGTCAATATTCACCGGCGGCCGAAACTTGTAACGTCACAGAACTCAATCGTTTTGGTTCACTCCGGTCTCTACGCACGCTCGTGCCCGAGCGCTAGAGCTCTGTGACGTCACAGCCACCACGCGGCCAGTCAAAAATTCATCTAGTAATTTGGTCATAACTTCGTCAATATTTGTCGTAGCACAAAAATTTAACCACTATTTCATGAAATCCTTAGCTCAATAAATCTGCATTCTCAACTAAAATCGTATCGGATCCTTATTCACGTTTGGAGTGCCAGCCTCTTATGTGACATATTTTCATAAAGGGAGTTATAAGGAATTGTTTAAAGATTGAAATGCTATCATTGAAATTTTTAATGGATTTCCAATAGAAAAGTTTTTGATTGTGATCAAAAAGATTGTCTGAGATATATAAAACTACGTTAGGTTTTTTCTTTGAAATGGTATAGCAGGATTTTCTTTCATTGTTTGATTCTAATATATAAAAATAATCCTTTTCTTTTTATCCATTTGGAGGTTGATAGCTTGATATCGATAGAAAACAACAAATACCACAAACCTTTTCGATTAAAGTTTCGCTCAAATTTATTGAGATAAGTTATTTATAAGTGACCAGAAAAAAGGATAAATATTTCTTGACATGAAACTTGTAAGATATACTTTTATTTTAAAATCCAAAGGTTGGTTAAATCGATGCATTTCAAGAAAGTTCTTCATTATTTCTCTTTTAGTTTTTATCTTCAAAGTTAAATTCTTATAAAAGAGTTAGGACAGGGTTACGCTAGGGAATAGAGGTTAAAATTGACCAAAATTACTCCTAAAATCTATACAATTCCATATTTCTTTTTAACACTGGGCCCGATTTTGGCGTGATTTTCAAATAATTTTGATTTGGTCTTGTCCAGCTGTATACAGAATGAAAAGGATAGACTGTTGTAAAATGTAGATTTAAGTTTTGAGAATCATGCCAGAATTAGGCCTATATAACTAGTACATTACCTATTACTGCTAGATTTTCTTTTCCTTTGGAGTTAGGGGATCGCTGTCATCTGGGAAGGGAACTTAAACAGGGGTATATTTAGGGCCAAAATTTTGCGGAACCATTAGTTAGAGCAAAGAATACACTTCCTTTACACAAAGGATTGTAAAACTTAATAATATTAGTAATCTCTATATGTAACATGCAGGGAACCACATAATAAATACATAATTATATGTAGGTAGCGGCAAACTTCTTGAGCAAAACCACAAAATGTAAAATTGCTTGTCTAAGGTCGATGCTCAAGAAGTTTGCCGGGCTTGTTTGTATTTTTAACTGCTTTAACTGCTGGGCTAGTTGCCGATAAACTTTATGCATTGGTGAAATCGACTGGTCCTGACTTCCTCGATCGTAGAGGTTGTGATTCAAATATTTTTTTTACCAAGAGAAAATGCTTGAAGCATACTCCGCCGCTGGGTATGGCGATGGAGTTATGTGAGACTCCCCTCATCCCTTTCACCAAACCCTAAGCCAGCTCAACGGCTGCCCGGGATGGCGGAGCCTTACCCACTAAGTTTGATGATGTGCCATACGGACACATGTTTGACGGTCGGTGGTTGTTGCAGGGCTACAATGGTGTGTGTGTGTGCGGGGCAGCGGGGGGCGGGCGCGGCGAGCCGGCGCGCATGGCGGCGCCAATGAGGGAGGGCGCGCCGGCTGGCGGAGCTCGCCCCGCGCCCCACGCGCACCCCGCCAACTTCGAGTACGATGACAACGAGTGGGACATCGGCATCGGCGACCTCATCATAGACCTCGATGCCGACATAGAGAAGACCGACGAGGCGGGCGGCATGGCGGCGCGCGCCGAACCGGACGCGCAGCGCACCGCGCTCAAGATGAAGATCAAGCGCACCAAGCCTGGCACCAAGAGCTCCGAGGCGAAGCACGAGATCGTAAAGTCGAACGAAATGAACGGCGAGATGAAGCCACAGACGGCGACAGCCGCCACGCCGCCCGCAGCCGCGAAACGCGGTTCAGGCGGGCATAGGCGCGATAAAGCGCGAGACAAGCATCACCACCCCCACCCGCCGCATGATGTGAATGGCGTGCCGCGGGTACCGCCGCCGCCGAACGCGCCGGGTCCGCCCGCGCCGGCGCCGGCGTCGCTCACCCCGGCGGCGAGCCCTCAGCCCGCGCCGAACAAGCAAGAGCCGAGGCCGACGCCGGCGCCCCGCCTAGAGGCCAAGCCCCCGGCGCCGGCGCCGCAACCGCCCGCCGCTCCGCCGCCCGCGTCCGCGCCCGCGCCCGCACCTGCGCCCGCGCCGCCTGCGCACCCGACGCACGCGCCTGCACCCGCGTCCGCACCCTCCAAGCCCGAGCCGGATGACTCGCGGCAAGACGCGCACTCCTCCCAGCCACCACCTGCAAAGAAACAAAAAACAGAACCTAAGGTATTCCTCCATTTTCTTTTTCAATCTTTCTTAATTTAACACTAGCTGACCCGGCGAACTTCGTACCGCTTACAACAATTTGGAAGAAATCCGTTCGACAGGAACACTGCTTTTACTGTAGTTAGCAATTGTTTCTAGAAATTTTCAGTAGATTGATCGTTCAGCACTTTAACTCTCATATTTAGTTACTGCCAGCTGAAAAATCTTGACACTGGTGAAGTTCTCTTATCAATAACGATAATGAATACGTCGAAAATCTTTAAACACAAATCAAATCACACTTATTAACATTGTTTCCCCTTTACTAGGACTCTAATGACTGCCAGTATGTCAATGGCGTCACGGGACGACCGTTGGGAGATATTTATTAAATTACGTCAGTATGAGGTGAATGCCTTTATTGCCAACGATATTCGTTGTTTATTGCACTGAAAATAAAATAAAATAAATAATTATTCAGTTTAGGCTGTTACAAGCACTTGTGAAAGTTGAGACGCTATGCCATCGGTTCGGAAGAGAACCGGCAAAAAACTCAGCAAGGGCTGTTTTTTTTTCCTTGTATTATTATATACCGAGTCGTCAAGTTGAAAAATGCACACTCATTTTTATATATAGAGATTATTAACGGACATCTATTCATAGTATGTTATTTATCATTTGAACGGCAAACATCAAATTATGTGGGACTATGCTAAATATTAGACACACAAACCGAAACAGAGCTAGTTCCTAATATTCTGCGCAAACCTGTTTTAGCCGCACACATATCTGTAAATAAAGGGGTGGCATGAATTTAGCTCATGTTACTAAAATCTGATCCAATCAATTTCAAATTTGGTGTAGGTAGTCGTGGTTAACACCGCAACGTTACTGTGTACGGGAAATGGAAGTGATATTGACGTTGATGTATTTTATCTCTTAATGTTGTATCATTATTGCTATGCCAGTAAGCTGTCCTGCTAATGGTGGCAACTCACTGTCTTGCCGCTGTAAGAAGTAGCGTATATCAAATATGCTTGATAAAGCCAAACTGACCGTTTGGGGAGAGACATTTTAAAAGGACATGCCACTCGACGAAGGATTTTGGCTTGATCAAGCGGCCAGATGGTGAGTGGCCACCATAATATTCTGTTAGTATATTCCAAAACATTATATGTATATCATTAGGCAGCACTTAACACAGCGCGAAATCGATTAAACGTGGCGATGACAAATTAGATACGACACGATAAAAAAAGATAAAATCAAATCTTCGAGCAAGCTCTCTTTAACCACTCCTTTTCATTATCGAGTCAATCAGCGACGATAACGATTATCGCGCTAAGCAGTGTTATTGCGCTTATCGCGGTTGTGTTCGATTGTTTCGGAGTGTATTTAATTGTCGGGGCTTAGGGCTGTTTGCGAGCTTGATTGAGTGCAAACGTTCGTGGGGAGTAATCCGCACTGTCGCCTGCCGCATCGGTTCATTAAATCACCCCTCGGTTGCTCGGACGCCGCGCCACCCGCCCGGCTGAGTGACGTCACAATCACAATACCGTTGCACTCCACGAATTAATACGATTGCGGTCTTCGTGGCAAACAAAACAAACGCTTTTGGCCACCCTTTAAAAACTCGAGATGCCGGAAAAAAATCCCATGTAAATATATCTTCAATAAAGATGATTCCAAGTTTGAATCTAAGAATTCGACTGACTTCATAGGTTCACAGCATTATAATGTAAATAAGACTTTGCCTCTTATAACTCAATTGCTTAGTTATGCATCTGCATCGAGATATTTCTCAACTCGTAGCGCATCATTAATCAGTACGACGTGACTTGAAGTTATTGCCAAAGCTTCATGTAAATTACTGTCGAGTCTTATGAACTTATCACGTTTAACCACATCAAATTATCCTGTTTTGTACCTCGCGCACGCAGCGACAGCTGCTTGAGCAATATTAGATATTGCAACCACAATATTTTACGGATCCAGTCAAATTGCCCCGTAAAGGTATATTTCATCACTGCTCTCAGATTGGGGTGGATCCCTATGCTTTTCTTAGTTATTATTCGGTAGGGGGGACGCCTCGCGTCTCAAGTCTCCGAAATTCCTTTCATTAATCACTGTCAAGGGCTCTAAAAATTTCTAAAGTGCTTGTGGAATCAATTTACGTTCGCTTCCTAACTGGAAAAGTTCTAAACTGTGATAATTAAAGACGAGATATCAATTTGGTGTTCTTTATATTTTCCTAGCGTGTTGTATATTTTTGTTCTTTTCTATTAATTTAATATCATGTACATGTGTGTGTGCTCTCTGCCAATCGGTTTACACATTGTATCTATAAAACCGTTGCGACTGTCTGCACTCTATAGTTAGTGTCTCAATACGTTATTATTACGTGCAGTTTCAAATAAGGGGTGACCCCCTCGCCCAATAAAATGTTTTCAATTCCCTTTCTCCCTTTAATAGCGCTATTTGAACTAGAAAAAGAAGATCATTCATTTTTATATTTGTTTCAATCATGATGTATGTGTTTTTGTCAAAAAATGTTGACTAGGTACTTTTATGACGAAAGTGTTTTCTGGGTGTGACGTTGTCGTGTTTTTAATCCAGCAAGTAAAAACATCATGCGAAATTTCGCATAAAGCAAGTAACCACCATTATTAATTTACATCACGACACCTGCTTATTAATAACTTATTTTACAGCATACAATTGCAGTCAGTAGGGAAATTTAATTTGTAGGGTACTTAATTTTAGCATTTTATTTAATACGGGTAATGTAAAAAAATATAAGAATCATTTAAATAATGCCATTGAGGCTTGAGCCGCTCAAGCAAAGTAACGTTAAAATTTACCCAAAAACTAGGGATAATATTTATCAATCGATACCATGCAATGCGTCTACAATACATCTACCAAGCGTTATTTATGAAGATTTTTTTGTTGTTGTTCTTTAAGTAATAATTAATTGAGATATCGTTGTAGTTGTGTCAAATAAATAGAGATAAAAGATTTATTTTGCCAGTATTAAACTTGCCGTGATCTCATGATCGCGGAGTCAGACGTTATCGTGTCTAGACCTATTCATATCTCTTATACGGCTATTTGAATTCCATTACAGTTACGTTATATGAAATAGAATCTTATAATATTATTTATAATGTGTGAAATTAATAAGATTTCGATCAGAGTCACTAGGGGAGCATGATCTTTAACATGTTACACGTCGCCGCGAACGAGGTTAATAGCAGGGCTCCGCTCGATTATACTGATAGCTCTGAATAAATTTACATGTTGATTGCTGCCCGATCAGGGTCCGCCGCTAAACTAACTGCTAACTGGCGGTCGGTCGAGCTTGAATTAAATAAATACCCTGAGCTTATATAGCACCTTAAAGACAATCTGTCTTGTAAGGCAAATTATTTTCTGTTTTCAGCATTATCGATGGTTGAACTGGCAATTAATATCTTGCCGACACAGCGCGTTCATACACTGAAAATAGTTTCTCAACTCTAGGGATTCCGTGAAATGGTAAACTTTTTATACAATGTACAATATTTAAATTTCTGATTACACAAAGTAGATATAATATAGGTACGTGCATTCGAATAGTTATAATACTCGTACATAAAAAACAATTACAAAAACGATTTGAATTTATATTGAAAACTGCGAAACGAAACGAGCAAAATCAACGTTGACTCGAATGATAGATTCTGATGAATTTTCCGCTTCAACGGCTTTATTTATACAGAGAGCAGAGCGGAGGTATCGCGTTACCTGCCCCGGGCGTGTATCATCGTTTATTTCACAAAAAACGTTATTGCTTTAGCCAAAACGCTACAACCTCACGGCTGGCCCGTGAATTAAAATTTTTAATAACGTATACTCGAATTAATTGATTGATGCTATAAAATAAATCGCCTCTCGAAGCGGCTGTGCTGTATAGCCCTCGCGCTGCATCAGGGCTGTGGAACGAATCGTCATAATTATTACGAGTGGCCATGATTATTATTGAAGCTGCGATCGTTCTGTACGATCTGTGGTACTTCAATACTTTTATGATTGCTCATTGACGCGTCTTCGTCTTCATGAGTGAATGTTGAGAAATTTTATTATTCCCATCTAATTGCTTTTGAAATCAACGCGCCACGTTCTTTTCTCATGTCGATACTGTGTGGTTAACAAGCTATTGTTATAAGATGATACAGATAAAATCCAATTTACATACGAAATATGCGTTTGTTTTTAATTATAATAAAAACACCGAACATTTTATGGCAAACTGAAAATAATACTCGTAATACTACCCAACTAGCAAAAACGTCATATAAATCTGAACTTTTTTATGTCTTTTAGTTTATTAGCAGTCTCGAAATGGTTATGATATGACAACTGCGTCTAATAGATGTCATCAATTTTACTTTTTAGTTGTGTGTTAAATTTAGTGTAGTAAACGTTTTAAAAAATGAATTATACGAGACGTTATAGTTTTGTTTAACAAGTTTATTGGTCAACGTTGTAGTCATATTTATACATAAATGGAAGAATAAAAAAACATGAATGTCAAAGGCTACTTTCGTGAGAGTAAATAACGTTGTAACGTTCATAAGTATGCTTGGTAAGATATAAGAAGGTACAGGGAGGTCGGCGGCTCCAGCTGCCGGCGACTACTGTGTAAATATTATTGGCGTAATTAGGATGTGAGGCCCGCGGCGCCGACAGCCGCCGGCCGCTCTAACAAATGCCATTATTATTTCCGCTCCGCATCACACTCCGCTGCCGTTTTGTTACGTTCTCGTTTATTATGTCATGAACAATTGAAACGATAATAAATATTCACTCCGCCGAACCGAATTGATTTAACGTTAATTGTGCCCGTGCGAGCTGTTTGTCTGTCACGACTCACGAGTCCCTGCGA